GAGTTGGTYTTCTGTCAGGCACAATGATGAGATCTGGTGCTTTCTGCTTTCCTTTCTTGTACCAGTGAGAGTACAATATAAATTTTTTCCCATTGAAATTAAGTAAGAGAATAGAACTCATTACATTTTTGTGCAATCCCATATATTTCTAAGTTTTCAAACTAGATGAGCTTAGCAGTGACTATTTTGTTTTTGTCAGTTTTCGGTTTAAGATGCAATAATACACATTGGGCTCCTGATGGTTAAAGACAAGATGACTTTTTAGCTAAGACAATAATTATCATAGTATATAATTATGAATATATAAATATCAATATTAACATTAATATTGATACAATAATAATATTATTATTATGTTATTGAGATGAGTTCCAAACCCCATGCAAATATATATTGAATAATGGTTACTGATAATGACAATTAGCAGAGGAACCAAACTAGAGGAGTTCTGGAGTGCCCGCCTGGGTGTCTTGTTTGCCATGAGCTGGGCTCTGACCCATTYATGAAGCAAATAATTCCCACACATGATGAAGCTCATCTCCATAAATACTTTTGAGACCATAACTGGTGAGTGAGGTAGTTATTTGCCTCTGAGGTGACAGCAGTTCTGTTCCCAGGAAGAGCCAAGCTTCCCAACCCATTACAGATGCAAGCCTCAATTTTCCAGTGTGCAGTGTGTGACCATCAGTTTTCCAAAGAGCAATGGGATCACACTGAGCAGAGATAATTTTTTTCTTTTTCCAGAAGAACTAGCAGTCAAAATTTGGGGTGAAGTTTRTCCATCAGCAGGGTTAGTACAGTCTGGTACAGACAGGTTGGTGTGTTTGGATGCCTGCCAGAAAACAGAGAAGGAGGGAAGAGAATGCTAATTTTTTGAAGGGTCAGCAGCTTCAGCTGCAGAGCTTGCAGATTTATGTTGGCTAGGCCAATTGATTTAATCAGGGATTGATATCCATCAAAGCTAGTACCAAAAAAAAATAATTAAACAAAAGCAGGCAATGTCTGCTTGTGGTTTGCAAGGGAAATTGATTGAATTCCCTGTTCTGAACATTAGTACTGTACATCCAAAGAGAGCTGCTCAGAAACACTTGCAAAATTGAATGTTACTGTCCCAGAGAAGAAAATACTTGAAAGTAATAAAATCTAACTCTGTAGCAGTGATCTTGTGGATTCTTGGTTTCCATCACCTCCAAATCACCCAGAGCTTCACGTTCCTCGTGCCTTGACTTTGCTTTCATCCGCTTTCACTGTTGTCCTGCTTCTCCTTTCTTCCTGGGGTGAACAGCTACTTGCAGATCTGGTGTCTCTTCTCAGAGAGAGTGGAAGAAGGTCTTTCTCAGGAAGGAAAGATTCCACTARCACAAGTTTGTGTTCTTAATCTCTCACTATCGTGTGCGTGATTTTCCACTCAGTAGTTTTCTTCCAGGCATTTTTTTTTAAATAMGTTTAAGATTGGCTTCTTAAAGGAGTGAGTACTTTGGATATTTTGGAATGCTTTCTATTAAACCAAAGTCTGTTTTCAAACTTTAAAATAATTTAAATTTGTTAATTTTAGTATAAAAACCTTAATTTTAATGTATAAATACATGCACATTTAATATAATCTAAGTTGTGGTCCTAGCTAARCAGCTCAGTGCTCCAAAATTAAAAGATTTGCAGCTTTTCCACTTTTTCATCTCCTGGAGAACAACAGTGATGGGGTTTGTTTGAATCTGTGTCTCCTGAAGGATTTCATAGTAGAAAAAAACCACTGTTTTTTATAATAATTAGCATAGATTGCCAATAATAATTGGTGTAGATTGATCAATGAACTACAGTGAAGTGATTTATTCAGGTCTCTGCCTCATGTGAAACTTCACAGTTGGCAAAATCAAATTTCAAGGGTGACATATAAGTTGACATAGGTTCATCAATGTTGGTGGAAGAACAGTAACATAAATCATTACTAAAGTGGCCATAGTTGTGTTTGTGGAAAGAAGAGACAGGGTGGCATTGGAGATTGAAAACTCTTAGAATTACAGACAGTGTGGGAAAAAGAGAATGCTTAGTCTATAGAACTTTTTAAAATTTTTCCAAAATAGATTTTAAAGGGTCGTGCTATATTCCAGCTTGAGATTTTGGACTCCATATAAAAGGCCACAGGTTAAAATATCAGAGCCCATTTCAGCTTTAAATTCCATGAATTTACAAATGTTTGCTGAGGGAGTGTGCTTAGGTCTCTGCAAGTGCATGTTCAAAGGAGTACAGGTGCCTTGCTGTATCCACACACACACAGACATTTCTTCTCATCAGTCTCTGTCTGTTTTTTTTTACAATGACTGTGAAAGTGCTGATACCTGGTGTGTAGCTCCACTAAATGTATTTTTCAAGCCATACCTGTTTGAGCCATCAAAGGTAAGTAGTCATACACAGCATGAAAAGCACTCATTGCTGACATCTCAGAAGATAGCACCTCTGTCACGTATTTTTGGGTTTAATTATTCTCTATTTTTTAAAAATACACCTTTAAAGTGTGGGAGATTATTGGAAAAGATCTTCCTTTGATTTTATTAAAAGTATCAAACAATTTAATTTGACTAATTTTCTTTTGCTTAAAAAAATTTGATTAAGACATTTATATGAGAAAAACCATAGAAGGGTTTGATTTAAAAATGGAAACCAGAATTTTCTTATACAATAGTTCCGTTACAAGCCTAAAGTCCATAGCTCCATCCTACAACTAAGTTCTTTGCATCTTAGCTGATGATACTATTTATACAGCATATCAATATTAGAGAAAAAGCATTAGAGAATGATTTTAACACTCTAACATATGCATTTATCTAAATAAAAGCAGAGAATGATACATTTTTGGAAGCAAAAGAATGACAATGATTGCATGTGATAAAAGACCCCTTCATAGCAGAGGTTTCAATATGAAGGGTGATAGCTGTCAAATGGGATCATACCCAAACTTGTTAACTGCTCTATTTCTGGGATTTTTTTTAGAGAATTTCTCAACTAAATTGCAGAAATCCTTTTCATTATAGTCTGCCAATCACGACCATCATGAGGCAGCTGCCCATAAACAGATAAATCTGTAAAATATCCCTATGAATATGTGAATTCGTCTCCCATACCTGCATTGATTTTGAGGTATTGTTGCTGTTGATTACATGGACTTGTCATTTTCACTAACTGCAATCCACTGAAACTGTAGGACATCAACAACATTGCTACCAGCTGAAAATGCTAAACTATTTTTTTCTTAAATCATTAATTTTGGACAAATTAGAGGCATGCTGTTGGCTTTATTTTCTGGAAGCTGAAGCACCCAGATGTTTCATTTTCATGACATTAAGCATTTAATAACCTAAATGTTACTGGAACTAATTATCTAAATGCCATTTCTGCTTTTGTTTTGRAAATAAATACATGACAAAATGTTTTGGTACTTCAATTTTCTCTTCTGCTGTCTGGGGAAGATTCCAAAATGATCAGCTAAATGATCAATCAGTTGAAAAAAAAAAAAAAATCAGGTTGGACCCAAATATGCCTATAGTCTATAGGATTCTATTAACTTCTATTACATCTGCTCAGAGATGATTGGTTGGCAAGGCATTAATGGATAAAACAGTCTTGACAATAAACTAAAAAGGAGGATGATTTGTATGATTTAAACAGCAACGGTCTTAAAATCTTACAAGAGCASGTATTGTAGTTAGTTTTTATCTTCCACTTTTTTTTTCTTTTTTACCTTTTTTATGAATTCAAAAGAACCCTTAATGTTATTGGACTCACCACTCCAGCTTCCTTGTTCTAGTTTACTAATTTGATCTATCAGAGAAGGTGTTGCCATTCCAAGTGAAATGTAGGTGTGCTGGTATACTTTCGTGCTCATGTGTGTAAGACAGTAGAACTCTGTATTGACTTTCACACTCGAAAATTCAAGGCATCAAGCAACAGTGATTTATTCAGATTTTCTCAAGGCAGACATACACACTCACATCGAGGCAAAGAAGACAAGACAGACCCAGCTGTTTTGAGAAAGGCTGGCCATATTACTCTGGGAGGAAGATGGAAGACACTCCTCAAATTGTCTTCGTGTTGCCTTTTTTTCACTGAAACACTGTTCCTAAGCCCTAATTTAACAGCGTGGTACTCAACACTTCTCCTATGTTTCTTTGCTGAAGCAAAAACCCCACAGGAGGTGGATTGCACAATAAATATGGATTTATATCTTTGTCATTCAGCTGGAAAGTATGCCTGGAGTATTAATTTTAAGCTTTATTTTCCTATTTCTTAAACAAGTTCAAACTCAAGAAGACCTTGGTTTTGAAATATCCCTTTTTAGAAAAAAAAAAAAGCAGGTCAGTTAAATGTTTCTGTTACTCTTTCCCATAATTAATTTTTTTCAGTTTGGTGATTCAGTTTCAAAAAAGTTTGCTTTTTCTTCTAGCTGGAGCTTAACATGGCATACATAGGAGAACAGATTAATTTCTGAGCAATATTTGGCACAAAAATTGAGAAAACTTTAGAGTTATGAAAGCAAATAGCACACTTRACAGGAAGAAACTTCTTATTACTCTACTACCCAGATTCAGTGGTTTGCTGTATCAGCCACCAGSCATACTATCTAATACAATTTTATTGGGGGCTGAGACAAACCCCAAAGGTTTAGGATATGGTTCTTATCATTAAGTGTTCTGAGAGAAAATTAATATAACACCTCAGGTAACATCAAATCTGGGAAGAAGTTTGCCTGTTGGCAGAGTATCCTTTAGAATCATAGAATGATAGAATTGTTAGGGTTGGAAGGGACCTTAAAGATCATCTCATTCCAACCCTCCTGTCATAGGCAGGGACACTTTGCACTAGAGCAGATGTCTCAAAGCCTCATCCAACCTGGCCTTAAACACCTCCAGGGATGGGGAGTCCACAACTTCTCTGGGCAGCCTGTTCCAGAGCCTCACCACCCTCATAGTAAAAACTTTCTCTCTGATATCTAAACTAAACCCAACCTCCTTCAGCTTAAAGCCATTCTCCCTTGTCCTGTCGCTACATGCCGTTGTGACAAGCCCCTCCTCAGCTCTCTTGCAGGCTCCCTTTAGGTACTGGAAMACTGTTATTAGATATCCCCGGAGCCTCCTCTTCTCCAGGCTGAACAGCCCYACCTCTCTCAACCTGTCTRCATAGGAGMTGGGCTCCAGCCCTGTGCTCAACTTAATGAGTCTCCTCTGGACTTGCTCCAAMATGTCAACATCTTCCTGGTGCTGGGGGCCCCACTCCTGCACACAGTAGTCCAGGTGGGGTCTCACCAGAGCAGAGTAGAGGGAGAGAGCCACCTCCTTTGACACGCTGGCCGTGTTGCTTTTGATGCAGCCMAGGATGCAGATGGCTTTCTGGGCTGCTAGCACGCACTGCTGCGTCATGTCGAGCCTTTCATCTACCAGCAGTTCCAAGTCCTTCTCCCCAGGGCTAATCTCTTTCCATTCTTTTCCCAGCCTGAAATTGTTCTCGGGACTGCGCCAAACCAGGTGCAGGACCTCACACTTGGCCTGGCTGAACTTCATGAGGATGACCTGGGCCCACCTCTCAAGCCTGACAAGRTCTCTCTGGGTGTTATTCCTTCCCTCCAGAGTGCTGACCGCATCACACATCTGGTTGTCATCGGTGAACTCACCGAGGGGGCACTGAAGCCCACTCTCTATGTCACCAACAAAGATGTTAAAAAGGACCAATCCAAATACCGACTCCTGAGGAATGCCACTTGGCACTGTTTTCCATTTGGACATTGCACCACTGACCGCAGCGCTTTGAGAGTGATCATCCAGCCAATTCTTTATCCACCCMGTGGCCCATTCGTCAGATCCATGTCTCTCCATTTTAGAGACATAGATGTCCCGCGGGACAGTGCCTTGGTACAAGTCCAGGGAGACCATGCCTGTTGCCTTTCCCTCATCCACCACTGCCGTAACCCTATCGTAGACRGCCAAAAAATTTGTCAGGCATGGTTCGACTTTAGTGGTGCCATGTGGGCTGCTAACAATCACCTCATTATTTTCCCTGTGCCTTAGCATAGTTTCCAGGAGGAGCTGCTCCATGACGTTGACCGACATTGAGGTGAGACTGACTGAGCTGTCACTCCCTGGTTCCACCTTATCTCCTGATTCTACCTTATCTCCTGGTTCTACCTTATCTCCTGATTCTACCTTATCTCCT